CTCTCTCTCCCTCCCTCCCTCCCTCCCTCTCTCTCTCTCTCTCTCTGCGCTAAGGTTTTGTTTTTGCTGCTACAGTAAATAACAGTGACCATGCTGGCAGCCTGGCCATCCCTGCGCATCCTGCACAACACCTCCAGCCCACTGTGTTGTTCTGCGGCTCTGTGGGGGTACAAGGGGGATTGCCAATAAAATAAACATAAAATGGCAGAGACTATTTGGCAAAAAAAAAAGTACAACATAACCGTCATCACAGACATTTCAGCTGTAGATACACCTGCCAGTTGGGTCAGCTTCTGAATGTGCAGTGAGTGGTGCTATTTGTACTTTGCCTCAAGCCACAAAATGGCTTGGTCTGACCCTACTTTGCCCCAGCAGTCAATCCCCCCATAACAGAGTTTTCATGACCTTCACTTGGGACCACAGAACAGAATTCAAAGGGGCCAAGAAGGCCATGGGGTCCAAACCCCTGCTGGTGCAGGACACCCATTCACACCATCCCACTCAGAGGACTGTAGAGTCGTTCTTTTTAAATGTCTCTGGTGTGGGATTGCCCACCACCTCTCTAGGTAGCTGGTTCCACTGCCACATTGCTCTGACAGCGAGGAAGCTTTTCTGGATACCTAGCCTGAATCTGGGTTGCTGAAACTTGAATTGATTATTCGGTGTCCTACACTCTGGCATCAGCAAGAAGAGAGCTTGACCTTCTCTTTGTGACAGCCTTTGAGGTACTTCTAGAGGGATATCATGTCCCCCCTCGGTCTTCTCATCTCAAGGCTGAACATGCCCAGTTCTCTACGTCCCTCCTCAGAGGGCAGTTTTTCCAGTTATTTTTGTTGCTCCCCTCTGGGGTTACCCATATGGGTTACTCCTCTTGGGTTAGCTTATATGGAATATTCTGAGTCTTTATTGCTATTATTCAAGTTAGACTCCAACATAGCTGAGGAAGGAATTTGGGAGCAGGTGTTCGGAGGCCTTCATCTAACACCTTTCTAGCTCTCCTATATCATCTCATAAAGTATATTGTAAAGATGGGAAAGAAGCAGAAAAGGGCAGCCAGAAATGACTGTAGAGCTGGACCACCTTCTCCTACCAGGTGAGCCATGACAGATACTACCAGCAGCGGCAGCAGCAGCCTGTGCCCTCATCCTCTTGTGATCGTGTGAGTTGGGGCCAAAGAGAGAGGACAAGCAAATGCATTCCAGTAACAACAATGACATGGGTGTGGGAGAGGGGGGCACACGAGGGACATATTTTTTTTTGCTGAAGCCCCACCATCTCTACCACAAACTGAAGCAAAACTGGTGTGCTTCAGCAATAGCAGCCATGAGGGCTCCCCTGCTGGCATATGGATCCCTTCCTTTCACAGAGCGCAGGCTGGTGGCTTCCATTAATGAGATACTCCAAGTTTCAGCATGGAACCATCCATGGCACAGAAGCCTCTTTTAGAGACCAGGGTCATGGCTGCTTCAAGGTTTGGACTGAAGCCCCAAAAGGATACACTGCCTCACCAACACTGGAATCACCAGCCACACTCATTCCATGCTGTGGCCGCAGTCTAAAGGAAGGGTTCCCACAGCTGCTACTTTAAACCCACACAAATGCAAAGATCTATTTCAGCTAATATGCAGTTTGGCACTGCAAACAGGTTTGGGGTAGGGGGAATCATCTTGAGGGGATCTTCTAGCTTCAGCTCAGGTTGGACATCAAACAGTGCTGCAACTAAATGTCCTTTGAGTTTTTGTTCTCTGAGTCTCAGCTTGATCAATGGAAAGTCCATCCACAGAGAAGGGATCAGAGAGCAGAAGGCTCAGACCCACCTTCAGATGTTCCAGAAGGATCAGGCCCAGAAGACGATACCTCACCCAGGACATACGTTAACGAGGCTCCAAATTCAGCTCTAACATCTTCGGCCCGATCGTAAGAATAAGGGGCTGCACAAAAGAGAGAGAGGAAGCAGGCCCTCTGTTACTGCAAGATGAAATGCTGAAGGGGCCAAGTGACTGGGAGTCCCTGAGAAGCGGGGGAAATCTACTTTTTCGAGCCAGAGAGGCACAGGCATGGGGCTTTGAGCTAGAAAACTTCATGACAGGATTTCCTCACCTCTCTTTAGGGCAAGGGTTGGCAACTGGTGGCCCTCTGGATATCTGGATTAGACACCCTTTTACCCCTACTTAAGGTTGCCAACGGAGAGGCTTAACAAAAATTGTAGGCCAAAATATCTGGAGGGCCGCCACTCGCCATGCCCTGACTCAGAAATGAGTGTGATAAAACACAGATAAGATTGGTCCTGTCAAGCAGCAAAGTGACTCACTTCAGGTGGTACCATGAGTGAGGTAGTGTGGATAAATGAAACATAGAAACAGAGCGAATCAGAAGGGGTCTCCCGGGCCATCTAGTCTGACCCCTGGCTCCAGCCGGCTCTGCTCATGACATGCCCACCAGTCTCGTCCAGCCTATCTTTGAACACCCTCACCAATGGGGCCTCAATGACCTCCCGTGGAAGCCCATTCCATACCCTCAGGGTCCTAACTGTCAGGAAGTGCTTCCTGGCATCTAAATGGAACCTTGGTTCCTTGAGCTTTGCTCCATTGAAAGCCAGAAATATATTAATGGTGTAGCAAGGCTTTGGATTTCCACTCAAGACAGCGAGAGAACTCCGTATACTGTACTTAAAAGGCCACCCATCATTCTAATAGATTCCAGTACAGAGGACAAGCATTCCAGGGAACTCTAAGATGATTTAATGTTCTGGTGCACAGAATTGTGTTCCCTTGGCTCTTCCATGTGGGAATGGCTAAACACACCATAGGCCTTGGTTTGTTTAAGGAGATGAGCAAAACAGGAACCCTGGCTTGTCTTTCCTCAGGTAAGCCAGAGTTCCTGCTTTGTACCTCACTATAAACAAACCGCAGGTGGAAGTTTCATGGTTTTGTCTAGCAGCTCCTATAAACACGGCTTGTTTAGCAGCCCAATGCCTTTTGTATGATAAGTGATTCACGTGAATGGATGTGACTATAGGCATAAAACAGAAGAGCAACAAAACCATTATTTTGTACTGCAGACAGTGGAAATAAAATCAATTTTACATATCTGAGTAAATGAATTTGACTTCACTTGCTATATCAAAAGGGTTAGACCATTCATAACAGTGTTCATTGAAAAGATTACCCAGGTTTTTTTTAACAAGTACACACACACAGACACAAACACACACATATACACATATCCTTGTCAAAAATAAAACTCTGAGTAGCCCCATCACAAACTCCATTTTAAAAGGAAGACAGAGTTTTGACAGCTAGCTGTCACAACATTGTGTCCCTGTAAAAGGGTTGGCTCACACTTTTCTCCCTTTCCAAGCGCCTATAGTCTTGGGAAAGGGTGGAAACGGTAAAGGACACAGAGAGCCATCAGTTCCAATGTTAAAAATGAGAAGATCTCACTGGAAATGGCATCAAGGCCACCACTTAATGCCAGCACCTATCTTTTTGCTGCTTTGCTTTCACTTGACAGATGGACATTTGGCAGCTGTCAGGGTAAAGAAAACAACAAATTAACCTTTTTGTAGCCACGTTTTATGACTGTTCCTGCATGGTGCCTCCTGCACTTTTCCAGGAGACCCTTCCCAGGGTACTGACTTTGAAAGGCTTCTCATTTTGGTCCCCCAAGGGTGTACAAGAGCTCACTTGTAAAACACCAAGTTTAAGACGAGGATGAAAATATGCATACACATTTCTGGTGCAAAACAATACAGCAAATAAAAGGTAATGAACCACTCACAATTACTCCAGTGTTCCGCTTTGGAAGGGCAGTCCGTGACTGTCACTTCAGAGATCTCAAACTGTAATCTCCCCGCTGAAGAGGTAGGGAAGAGCTGTAGCAAGTTCCCCAAGGACTCGCGGATGGCAAAGAAGAAACCGAGCCAGTGACAATCACTCTAAAATGCCACTTGGGCATTTGGTGAAGCAGTTGTCACGGACGGTGACCCAGACAAGCTCAGCAACAGCAGCAAGGGGATTTTCCTGCACTTGCTGAATGGCTCCCTCACTGACGCCCTGTACTTACAGTGGGTCGGTTGCCCAGATTTGGATGACATGACAACCCTCTGTGGCTAAAGTCTCTTCAAAAAGCCCACAAACAAGCCAGCCAGCGGGAAACGGCTCAAGCTTCCATGATGCCACACATGACAACCCACAATTCACAATGGGTTGAGGACCCAGACCTCTAGTCAAACCTGCTGAGGGAGAGAGGTTACTGGAAAGCATACCTCGACAACTTGGCTCGGCTCCTGACCATTCGCCCTCTAGAGTACAGATGCGTTGAGAGGACCCTATGAGGTCCAGGCCACTCTGGCACTGGAATGAAACCCGATCGCCAAGACCATTGCGCCCTCTGGAAGCGATCGCCCCTGGGGGGACAGCAATACTTCGGCAGTGCCCCACTGCAGAGAGGACATGACGGGACATGAACAATGGGGGGGGGGGAGAGAGCACAGGAGGTTTTGCAGATATGCACAGTGACGATCCCACTCCAAGCCATGCCACAAGCGAAGCACAGCGCTGCCTCGAGCTCTGAGCCACAGCGGATTCCATGGCCCAGGTCCAGCCAAAGCAAGCCTGGGATTCACGACCCCAAGACATGGCAATGGGCACCAGTTCAGGAAGTTTTAAAAGGGGGTTAGACAAATTGGTAAAGGAAATGGCCATAAGCGGCTACTAGGCATGATTTTACTTTATTTACTATCATATTACTACTATTTATTTACTATTTTGTCCCCTTGCAAGGAACCAGAGATGGTTTACATTGTCACCCTCATCTCCGTAGTATCCCCATAAGACCTTTTCTCTTCTTCCTGCTCTTAATCTTACCCCACAACAACAATCCTGTGAGGTAGGTTAGGTTGAGAGTCAGTGATTGGCTTTATGAGCTTTATGGCTGAATGGAGACTAGAACTAGGATCTGCCAGATCCAAGTCCAACAGTCCAACTACTACGTTGTGCTGGCTTTCAGAGTATGATGGCTTTATACTACCTCTAGTATCAAGGCAGTATGAGGAGCAACATTGGAGTGCTGCTACTGACCTCACCTTCTGCTTATGCACTTTTCAAAGTCATCTAGTTGGCAGGTAGGGCAAATACCATAATAGCATGCATCCCCATAGGACTTTTCATCTACATAAGAGTGTTTTCCAGATATTTGTGGGGGAAAGCATGTATAATTTTAAATGTTCTTTGTTTGCTTATTTCTTTGGTGTCATATATGCAACATAAAAATGTGTAAAAGTAAAACAAATACTATATTGTGTAAGGAGGATTTCTTTCAATTGTGCATGTGTGTGTATACATGCAATGCACAAGATATGTAAGTTTAGATGGAAGTTGTAGCATTGTGCCTCAAGCCAAGAAAATTTAAATTTTGCAACCTATAAATGTATTTTTAAAAAGGAATATATTTTGTTTAATATATTTTTTTGGCTGCCAGTTATGCTAAGTAAAACAGCTAAGCACTGCCTCATGACTGGTGAAAATCCAGTTTCACCTGCCCAATCCCATAATTACACATGATTACAGAAGCAAATATGAAATGTGTCCGTGTTCCCTAAATTCACAGAGCTTGCACAACCGAATCTTAGATAATGCGGAGACTTTGGGTGCATGAGGCATACGCAGCCCTCAGCACAAGCACCTTTTCTTTCCCAGAGAAAACAAATTGCTGCAGGAATTGCGGTTTGAAAGCCTGGCAGGATTCACCTCCATCGTCGCAAACTGGGGAGGTTCCATTCCAGCGGCCATTGGGCAGGCAGTGCCTCTGAGCAGAACCGAGAAGCTGGTATCCATCCGAACACTCAAAGCTCAGGACGTCGCCAATTGGGTGGTAGTTCCGTCGCGGGCTGAAAGAGCCATGTTCAAAAAACTTCTGTGGAGGGCAGTGCATGGCTGCAGAAGAGAAGGGATTAAAACAGACATGGAACAACATTTTGGCCTAGAATCCAAAGAACTGTGAAATCGTGTGACTTCCATATTAAATCATTTTGAGTGCTGCAGAGGCAATTTCTACACTTAGCTGGAGGAGAAATTAAAATAGCAGTTCCGTGCAGATCAGCATGCTTTATTATCCACTGAGCTCTTACTCCTAGCCAAGATACTTCTGTAAGGTTCACTCATAAGTCATATTTAACAAAGCTCCCCTGTACCATTAATTAGAAGCTTCTTCTTTCAGCTAGGGACCAGTTTATTGTTTTCTCTTCAGCCTAATACAGGCACTGGAGATGAATTGCACCTTAATGTGTGAACTTCTGTTCTTTGCTTATTAATTAATTAATTTATTTATTAATAACTTTTGTGCGTCATCCCTTATATAAATATCTCAGGATGGCATACAGCAATTTAAAAGAACAATTTAAAAGCATCTAATAACATCCAGTAATAATTAAAACAATAGTACTGTATAGAACAATAAATAGCCATCAAATAAATCAGGTTAACTCAAAACACAGCAAAGCAAAAGTGACTACAAAAACCATTAAAACTATTAATTTAAAAAAAGAATATGGCAGAGTGGAGTGTAGATAAATTACTAGTTTCTCTTGCATTCCCTACTTTCATTTAAACTAAGCTGCAACCATGTGTGCATTTAGACAGAAAAAACGTCTTACAATTCTCAGCTGGGTGGGGAATGTTGGACATTGAGTACAGGATCTTTAAAAGGCAAGTGAGAAGTCTCCACATGAGCAGGCCATGTTAGCAGAAATGAAGGAAATATTTCAGCTTTTAAGCAGAAGGAGCAGTTGAGCCTGCATAATCTCCTGAGAGGTCAGAATAATCCTGGGCCTACGTTACAGCACCATTTACAAGAATGTTCTATGTTTCCTTAAGTGACAGTAAATAGCAATTGATTTTGAAGATATCTGATCCCCCCCCCCCCCGCTTTCTACATATAAAGCTGGGAATTGAAGGGCTTTTTCTGCCTAGCTATGCAAAGGAAGGTGCCTGAAAATGCATAATAAAAGGAGAAAAAAAATTATATCCAACCCCCCAACCCCTCCCCCCAGGAAACAAAGGTTGAATAATAAGTGGCAATTTGTCAGAAAATCTCAGCAAGCAATAGAGTTCTGAAAACCTAAAAGGAGGCACTGTTCAATAAAAGGCACAATGTTGATGACAAGCCTCAATTGCATTTTCTCAGCCCGCACCAGACAGTGTTGCTACAGCTGTGCTTTATTGTAAGAAAAATGACTATGTATCAGGTCTTGGGAAATGCGAACAAAGGACAACACAGAAAAAACATCAATCTGACAACATTGTCATACAGATTCTCGGTAAATGCTATGCGATTGAAGTATGGCTATTAAAAATAACTCAGTACCATATAGCCAAGCCCAGGATTAAAGTTTCTTGAACTACAGCCTCCTATGCTGCATGGCAAACCAATTTTGCAAAGGGGGAAAGAGTTTTAAAAGCCATTCATTATAATTATTCCTGGCATTCAGATAGCGCTTTTGTGACTCAAAGTACTTCACATACAGTGCCTCAAAAATAATTACATCACTGACCGTTTTCCCTCTTATGAGCCCAGCTCCACCTACATGGATTTGCTCATCCAATTACTACACGTGAGGGACAGGGAACTTGTAAGCCTGACCTGTCGCTCAGTCCACCTCGAGGCATTTCTATCCAGCCCCTCCACATAATCCTTAAGCCTCCCCTTATTTTGCCAAATGCTCTTTAATCCCACTAACGCCCCAAGGCTTCACGGAAGTGTCTAATTGCTCTGTTCTCACAAAGCTCCTGAACGCCCCATGACGCGCACAGTGGAAAATTTAACTCGGCTGGAGGTTCTCGGACTCAGCTGCAGGCCGGGAATCGCGGAGGCCTCGGATGGGGCACTCGGCCGGGCGAGTGGTTTTGGCTGCTGAACTGTTTTTTTAAATATTGTATATTGGGAAAAATGCCTCTTTTCTACTATGTCTCATGTTTTGAGAGTTGTTATAACCTGCCCAGAGAGCTTCAGCTACGGGGCAGAATAGAAATAATGCTAATACTACTAGCCTAGACAACATGGAGTTAAGGTGCACTTTGCCTCAGTCTCTGTTTATAAGAGAGGGACTCCAGTAAAGCCAATGTTGCCTTGCCCACTTAGAAAAAGGGGACTTGGTTAAAATGTAGTTATTGACCAGGGGCGTAGCAATCTGCTCCTATTGACTGGAATTTCCCCCAACTCCACTTCATGTTCTCTTCTGCAGCTGGTGTCTCCCTTTGGATGGTCATATTATTGCCCTGTGGAAATTCCACTGTGATGAAACCTGGGATGCCAAAAGGAAATTCCATCTCTGACCTGAATCTACAGGATTATAAAAGAAAGGATATTATGTACAGAATGAATAATGTATTCAAACAGCATTAATAAGAAAAATAAACCACAGAGGAGCCAACATCTGTTTCCTAATTTGTACTGAAGACTTTCCCTGTTGGATAAAGAATCATTATCTTGGGCACTGATTCCCAATCTAGGGTATATGTAGACCTTGGGGTACAAACCAGGATATTTAGGAGTGCACCAAAAAAAAAAAAAAAAAAAAAAAGAATAATGGTGGGAAAAGGAACATAGGTCAACAGTGCAGGAAAAGTCAAAAGTTGTGAATTAATTAACATTATGACATGTGGCAGAATGGATTTTCTTCATTATTTAACCTTGAGAAAAGCCCCATTCCCCCACTTTTGGCAAATGGTGGGGAGTTCTCCCTAAACAATGTGTTGTGAACACATCACTACCTTATTACCGTATTTTTCCATCTATAAGATGCCCCCATGTATGGGATGCCCCCCCCCACTTTTCTTACTGATCTCTGAGCGAGCAAGCTGCTGCCTTGCTGCGCCCCCGCCGCCTCGCCGCCTCCCCACGCGTGTGCCCGTGATCACACCAGTCTCCCCTCTGAGCACACCTGCGATCACACCTGTTTTCCCCCCCAAGCGAGCCCGCGCCCGCCGCCACCTTTCCACTGGCCCCTGTTGAAAAAGTTTGAGGACCCCTGGGCTACACGCTCTCCGCAGCATCAGCTGACAACAGTTACATAAGGCTCATGATTGGAGGAAACCTGTTAGTCTGTCTCTGCATTCGGAAGTTTTGCTCGTGAGGCTAGCTTGCAGAGATAAGGTACAGCAAGTTTTGCTACCATGGTTCTCCTCTTGACCCCCGTGTATAAGACGCTCCTCCATTTTTAGGTAAATATTTTAAAGAAAAAGAAAAGCAAAGAAAAAATCGTGTATAAGATGATTTTTCCATGTATCATCTTATATACGAAAAAATACGGCATTCTGTTGCTTTTTAATCCCTTTATTGGACTATTTATTTACAGTTACAATATATACATTTGAAATAACAGCAACTTATTAATTACAAACTTTTTGCTAATATGAAGGATACAATTTATGGAAATGGGCTGGCCAAGGGGTACAAAAGGTTGGGAATCACTGATGTAGAGAATGATATCATATAGCAGGTCTTCCAGATAAAGCTTTTAATAAAAGAATGAGCCCTTTTCTATGAGTGGCAGTATAAAAACAGGGAAACAAAAGATTCTGTCTCCAGTTCTGCAGGAAGAATGTCATCATGAAGTGGAATCTAACTACTGTTAGCAAAACAGAGGGTAAAAAATTAAGATGAGCAAGCATAAATGTCTTCCCATCAGGGGTAGCCCTACTATTAGTGAGGTAGCTGCTTCAGGTAGTGGATGATGGGACACAGGATAGCCAGGCAGAGCAGTGAGTGACGGCAGCAAAGGGCTGAAGGACAGAATTATGGGTTCCACGTGACCTGTCCTGCCCCACCTGAGCTAGCCGTCAAAAGATATGGTCCCATTATAAGCCTTGAAGTAACATCCAGTGCCCAGACCAGCTGGGTTTTGTATGCAGAACAGACAAGAGAGAAGGGGTGGAGTGTTGCCACAGGCAGCACAGTGATGTTTTAATGGTCAGTTGTTGAAGTGAATATAAATAGCACAGGCAACCCCCGAATGTGATAGGTTCCCCAAAACATTGAGCAAGCATGCAATGGACAAGAACTTCAGTGACTCAATCACTTGTTTTTCTTTCCTTTCTGAAAAAGGAGCCCACTTTTCAAAAATCAGCTTGCCTCCCCAAGCTTCTGTACATTGGAACGCCTGTACAAATTTACCTTGCACTGGGATCTTCAATCTTTTAGGGTCCTGAGCTGGAATTTTGTGAGTGTGTTATGGACTCTCTCACAAAATGGCTGCCTTGGGGTGGTGCTTGCTTATTCCTAAAACACTCATAAACACTCATTTCCCAGAAGGCAAACTAATAAGATGAAAAGAAAGGTAACTTACCCAGCAACCTAAGTATAAAGCAGAAGTGGAGTGTGAGTTCCAAAACATCAAACCACACTTTCGCACCCAAATAAAGATGGCGCTACAGGGCATCTGCACTTTACAGCATGTCAGCCTCCCAATTAAAAACAACCTTAGAAACATTTAAACATAAAATAAAAATCAAGGCGTGCCTACAGGAGATCCTAAGATTATACTAAACAACCATGACATACCTTTGCATTGTGCTATGTTGGTACGGACTCCATTGGGTAAACGCATGGGAGTCCACTTCCCATCTGACTGGCAGATCCGCTTTCGTGATGGATATGCATAGGTGCCAGCTGGGCAGGAATAGGTGAGGACGCTTCCTGGGCGATACCCATCTGAGAGTGACATGGTGCCACCTCTGATAGACAGCTCTGTTGGGCAGGACGGTGCTGTATCAAGGACAGATTCCTGCGTGGCAATAGCTGCAAGGCATGGCAAACAGATATCACTTGCTTGGGAGTTGACAGAGAATATCCTCACTCAGATTTTGGGTTCAGTACTGCTATTCATTTTTACAGGCCGTGAAACGATTAGAGAGAGGCATGTCGAGAACACCTTCTCCTGGGAAAAAAAAAGCAGGACAGGGTTTCCAGAAAGACTGTTGAGGCTCCTTTCCTGTACATGCTGACCTGGAAGCAAGACCATTACTTGCTACAAAGAAGGCATGCATAAGATTGCAGCACTAAGCTTTAGAGATACTGAACCTCTATTAGGCTTAGGGCCGAGTTCCATTATGGAGAAACTGTCTGCAGCTATATTCCAGGATTAAGTGGGGCTGAAGGAGATGAGGCCAAAGGCAAAAGAGGCCAGGCCAGAAATGCTGTTGATATACTTTATTTATTTATTTATTATTTATATCCTGCCTTTTTCCTACAAAGGGCTCAAGGAAGCTTACATCATTCTCCTCCTCCGTCTTATCCCCACAACAACCCTGTGAGGTAGGCTGGGCTGAGAGTCTGTCCCAAAGTCATCCAGTTGGCTCCATGGCTGAGCGGGGACTCGAACCCGGATCGTCTGAGTCCCAGTCCCACGCTCTTAACCACTACACCACACTGGCTCTCCATGTGCCTCTATTTTAAAAGGTTAACTGAAAAGTTTCCATTCTCCTGTTGTTTCTGCCCGTTTCTTCTTAGCAAGCCAGATGTATTCTGATAAAGGGAAAAGACCAGGACAATGAAGAAGCCCAGGTGTAGTTCAATTGCAAGCTTGTTCACACAGAAAAAAATCACAGTGTCCAGCCAGGCTTACTTCCTGATAAGCAGTCCTGGCCAACTGGGTTGCACCAGCCTTATTTTCATAACATAGAAATCTGGAATAAAATTAGGACTTGAATAGCACTTTTGGATGGACAAAGCATTTCACATATTGTCTGAGTGGTACTCACAACCCTGCAAAGTAGGTCAGCATTCCCTGTGTATTGTGTGTCCATGTGGCAAGTGTGGGGCATTACTGACAATGGGAGCTTCTCTCCCATTGCATATAGCTATTACGAAGGACTGACTCAGACTGGGCCTGTAGCAGGGGCAAGGGGTTAGAAACACTCGGTATGCCGCAGTGGCATCTGGTTCAAAGCAGTTTATTAAGCATCTGAATGTGAGGCCAAACAACAAACAAATATCACATCCAATTAAGAGAAGGAAGTTAGCCACGGGAGGGTCAGATTACAGCAGACCTTTAAATTTTTAATATTTCAGACTCAGCCCATACTCAACCTTTGAGTGTGGGCCATTGTCTCTTTACAAAATGTTAATCTATTATATTTAAGAGTATCTGCCAAAGTTGAGCTCAAAAAGTGAAAATGTTCAGCTTCCAAACAATACAATTTTGTACAATTTTTTTCCTCTTCTAAAAAGTTGAAATGCAATTCCTAAGGTTCAGTTACCAGCAATAAGAGTCCTCAGCTAAAGTAAGATGGAATTCGAGCAGTTTTTGGACCTGCCTCTCTTGCTGATGGCCCTCACACTACCGATGCAGCTCCACAAAGCTTCTCAAAAATGGAATTCAGCCCTCTAACTGAAGGAGGTTCTTGCATCAGGTCATTAGAAGAATTCTTGTGTTACTTCCTAGATCTAAGGAAGCACTTCCAAAGATCTCAGCAGAAAGATCTTTAGGAACTTAAAAAATAAAATGGGTGTGAGAAGAAAAATGGGGGTGGGGTAGTAGAACAAGGATGTGGCTGTAATCCTAAATATAGTTGCTAGTAATCCTCATTACATACAGCAGAACTTACTTCTAAATAAACATGCATAGACTTTGGAGTAAACATGCTTGGGTTGAGCTGTGAAGGCTATTAAGGAAACAGAATGAAAGAATTCAAGTAACATTGCGTTCCTATATTTGCGTACCCTATAGGAGGCTCCACTGAGTTCAATAGGACTTTACACTCAGCAAGGAGTTTACAGGATTGCAGTACTTTCTTTTACATTTCTTCCCCGTTTTATATTTTTTTTCCTTTTAGGTGTAATCTCAATACACATACTTAAATACATAAATAAAAAATAAACACACAACTTACAGTGGAACCTGATTGATTAGCCATGTAAGAGGGGTGCCATATGCAAGATAAAAGTGGAAAGGTTGGAAGAAGGAAGAAAAAACAAAAAGAGGTACGGCAAAATTAGACACATAAAAGGAATGAAAGGGTTACAAATATAACGTGAGACCACGAACAAGGAATTAGCTTTGGGAGGAGGAAGAAATCAAAGCGTTTAAGGATGCAAGTCTATCCACCCTTCCCTGGGGGTAAGTCCTACGAACGTATTTCTCAGCAAAAGGAAATGGAGAAAATAAAGGAATGGCAGTAAGAACGTCAAAGAAAACGTCAGGTTCAAATACAACGCACAGAGGCAGAAGTATAAGAAAAGGTGTGACAAAGAAGCTAGATAGTGCAGTTTCTGGCCCTTCTCCCGCCTCGCCTCCTTGCCACGGACTTCCCAGAAGACGCCACCCACCCCACGGTTGCGGCTACTACCTGGCAAAAAGCAGAAGAGGGCACAGAGGAAGGGGATCATGGTGCCGCGACTTCGGAGTCCTCTCCTAATTCATGCAAAGGTCGCAAAGTGGGAATTTAGTTGTCAGCTGCTAGGAGAACAGTTTCGGTTCTGCCTTCAAAGAGCTGAGAAGGGAAACTGATGAGGGGCACAGGAGAGAAAGGCGATTGAGCAAGCTCATTCCAGGGTTGCACTTCTTAGTTGGACACGCATCAGAAGATGTTTGTGCTGATGTGCAGGTTACTGCTGCAATTTGGGTCGGAGTAAGGGTGCTAGGAAAAGTGGGGAGAGGGGTTAGACCCTTTCTTCCAAGCACTTTTGGCAATCTTGGTTTGCCCCCAAAGTACCAAAATAGAGGGAAACAGACATGTGTGAGTATATGAATGCACACACAAGTTAGAATGATGCATCTGTTTATGACCCTGAGTATTTTCTCCTGCTGTCAGAGGTCTGGTTACTTTTTTCCTTCTGTCCAGCAGAAGCTGGCATCAGTTGTGTCATTATGAGGACAAAACATTCCCTTCACAAATAATCCTCCCCCGCGCCCTATTTTCCCGTAATTCTGTGTTATGTTTGCAAGTTTACTAAAGCAGAAGTCAAGGCTACTTCCCAGGAATGTGAAAATACAGGCTCTTCTCATCCCTGTTGGCAAAGTTAGATATTCCCATTATTACTACCTTTTAACCTGCATTTTTTTTAGATTTGGAAAGAATTCATCTACAATGGTGGGGCAAAACAAAGAGATCAAAGTGCTAATTGCAACTGCACTAAATACTGGGTCACCTGGCTGATACCAATTTTCATCCCATTTTAATTAAAAATGGTAAGTAGAACAGCTAAAGTAGCTTTTACAAGAAAGATCCTGGTGGTGCCTTAAAGACTAGCAAGGTTTATTTTGGCATAAGCATTTTAGGCTAGAGTCAATGTTAATTAGATGCTTGATCCAGAGAATCTTATGCCGTAATAAGCATGTTAGCCTTTAATGTGCCACAAGATTCATAGCTGTTTCGCTGCCCCTCTGGAAATGTTACTACCTATACTTCTCTTTGCTTCTTTCTCTCCCTACCACAGAAACTGTGTGTTGTACCTACAGTCAGGGACAAATCCTGGTATTGGCGAGGTTTTATATTTTTTAAAAACAATGGAATTGCCTATTATGTTTGTGTTTGTTCCGTGTGCTCGACCTGCCAAGGGTATTTTGTTGCCTGCAGTGAAATGGCACCCTCGCCCACACTGCATCCACAGAGAGAAGCTGAAAGGGCTGGAAGCTGGACCTTAATACTAGAAGGACGTCCTTTATCATAACCAGAGGCAGCGGGGTAGCTCTGGGATCACAAAGCAGACTGCACAAACCATCCATCTTCACCTTGCAACATCTCGCTGCAGCTCCCTGCTTCCCAGCAACTACCACGCTCTGCCTAATGGTAGGTACAGTTGTTCTGTCTTGGCATAACCTGACACCTACACGGCACTGACGAAAGCCTAGGTCTGTGCCGCTTTTTCCACTCCATCACACCGAGAAGTCAGATTTCTCCTCTCTTACCCAATAAAAAGTTATTTTATTTTATTTTATTTAAAACTTTTATATACCATCCCATCACTGATGTCTCGGGATGGTTTACAAGAAAACCAATAAAATAAGATAAAAAGGTAAAAGTAGCACAGCATCCAATAACAAATATAAACCCACAAATTAAGACAATTAGCAGTTAAAATAGTGGGGGGAATTAAAAGGTTTTCCTTTTCCAAAAGGAAAAAAGCTTTGGTGCCAGGCAAACCTCTCTGGGAAGTGTGTTCCACAGTTGGGGTGCCACCGCAGAGAAGGCCCTCCTCCAGATAGCCACCCTCCTTATCTCTTTCAAGGTGGGTTCCCGAAGAAGAACCTCTTGACAGTTATTACATGCTGGCGAGACTTAATGGCAATCCCATGAATAAACACTCTCCAAAATGTCCTGCCCTTCACGGCCTTGCTCAATTTCTGGAAATGCAAGGCTGCGGCTTCCTCAATTGATTGCATATTTAATGTTCCTTTTCTTCTTCTGCCTTTCCCTTTCCCTTTCCCTTTCCCTTTCCCTAGCATGCTGGTCTTCCGCACAGAGCTTTGCCCTCTCACAATGTGTGCAAAATACAACAGCCACACTTTTGCCATTTTTGCTTCCAGGGCAAGTTCTAGCTTGATGCGATCTAAGACCCTTTCTTGAGAGAACTGGGCTTGTTCAGCCTGGAGAAGAGAAGACTGAGGGGAGATATGATAGACCTCTACAAGCACCTCTAAGGCTATCACAAAGGGGGACAAGATCTCTTCTCATTCAGCCCAGGGTGCAGGACATGGAATGACAAACTTAAGTTAAAACAAGCCAGATTTAGACTAGACACCAAGAATAATCTCCTCACTGTCAAAAAAGTATGACAATGGACTTTATTACCCAGGGAAGTCTTGGGCTCTCCCTCACTGGAGACATTCAGAAAGTATTTGGACAGTCACCTGAGTGGGATGGCGTACCTTAGTATCCTGCAATAGCAGGGGCTTGAACCCAATGGCCTTCTGGTCCCTTCCAGCCCTACTGCTCTATGATTCTAAGACCCACTTTTCCATCTTTCTGCCAATCCAAGGCATTTGCAAAGCTCTTCTCCTGCACCATATTTTGAATTCATCAGTCTCCTTCCTGTCAGCTTCCTTCACTGTCCAGTTTTCACATCCACACGGACGGTGATCTGGAATACAGGACTGTGGGTGATTATCTTTTCTAGGTCCTTCATTGCTGCCCTTCCAAGTCTCAGTCTTCTCCAGATTTCTTGGCTGCAATCTCCATTTAAATTGATGTTTGAGCCAAGGTATGCAAAATCTTTCACAATTTCAGTTTTTAAATTGTTGACCTTAAGGTTTGTGCAATTCTTCTTATGCAATTCTTGTCTGGCACCTTGCTTGTAAGAAACCTTTCTGTTTCTCCATATTCTGTTCGAAGGCCAGTGCGAAATATGTCTTTCCTGGGCAAGGTTCTTGAGAGGATGGCTGCACTCTTGGAGGAGACCGATTACCTGGATCCATCCTGATTGGTTTTCAGGCTGGTTTTCGCATGAGAATGGCCTTGGCCGCCCACTCTGATGGCCCGTGCTGAGAGAGGGACTGGGTGAGCGAGACCCTGTTGATACTTCTGGACCTCCTGGCAGCTTTCAATTCCATCAACCCCGGTATCCTCCTGGGGTGACTTTCTGACCGGAAAGGTGGGTGATGCATCGCAGTGGTTCTGTTCATACTTGGAGGGTCCTCTCCAGAAGATGGTGCTTGAGGAATACTGTTCCTTCCCATGGTTTCTCCAGCAAGGGATCTGTTCTTTCTGCCATGCTGTTTCACCTCTACATGAAACCACTGAGTGGGGTCATCCAGCATTTTGGAGCGCATTGCCATCCTGATGACACACAACTGCCGATAACACACCGTTCTATTTCCCTTTTTCCTCTTCAGCAGGTGAAGTTGTGGATGTGCTAACCCAGTGCCTGGCTGTGACAATGGACAGTATGAGGGCCAAGAAACCAAAGTTCAGTTCAGGAAGACTGAGATGCTGTTGGTGGGTGGTTCCCTCTAGTTGAACTCTTCTTGAAGGAACAGGTTCATAGTTTGGGGTTTTCCTTGATCCATCTTTGTCACTTGAGGTTCATGTGGCCTCAGTGGCTTGGAGTGCCTTCTACCAGTTTCAGCTGGTAGCTCAATTTCATGCCTATCTGGACAAGGATAGCCCCTGAAGACAGTTCAGAAGGTGCAGCTCGTGCAGAATGCAAAGTCAGATTGGGACCCATAGATCCAAACATATAAGACTGGTTCTAGCCTGTCAGCATTGGCTACCTGTATTCTTCTGGGCCCAATTCAAGGTGCTGGTTTTAACCTATAAAACTTTACACAACTTGGGACCTCAATGTCTGCTGAATGCCTCTCTTGGCATACTGATCTCTTCTGATACTATACTCAGCCTCTGGGGCCTTTCCCCAAGTGCCAACCCTAGGGGAGGTTCAGAGGGTGGCAACAATGGGAATAGCTTTGGCTATAGGGCGGTATAGAAATGAAATAAATAATGATTTAAAAACATGTTATTCACACAAAGTTATGGAGGTTTCAGATGGTTTTCAAGATGTACTCCTCTTCCATTTTCCCACCACCTCTTCTAGCATCTTCGAGGAAAAAACCCCATTAAGGCATACAGGATAGTTGCACGATGCCTTTTGATTATTAATATAGAATCAAGGAATAGCAGAGTTGGAAGGGGCCAAGAAGGCCATTGGGTCCAACCCGCTGCTGGTGCAGGACACCAGGTTACACCATCCCACTCACAGGACTGTCCAGTTTCTTCTTGAATGTCTCTAGTGTGGGAGAGCCCACCACCTCTCCAGGCCGCTGGTTCCACTGTCGTATTGCTCTGACAGTGAGGAAGCTTTTGCTGATGTCCAGCCTGAATCTGGGTTGTTGCAACTTGATTGATTATTCCGTGTCCTACACTCTGGGATTATCAAGAAGAGATCTTGATCTTGCCCTTTGTGACAGCCTTTGAGGTACTTAGAGGGATACCATGTCCCCTCTCAGTCTTCTCTTCTCAAGGCTGAGCATGCCCAGTTCTCTCAGTCTCTCTTCATAGGGCAGTGTTTCCAAATCGTGGATCATTTTGTTGCCCTTCTCTAGACCCTTTCTCATTTTTCTGCATCTTTCTTAGATCTTGGTGCTCAGAACTGGATGCAGTAATTCAGATGTGGTCTGACTAATGAGGAGCACAGGGGAACTATTTCTATTAATGCATCCCAAAATAGCATTTGCTGTTTTGACAGCTGCATCACATTGTTGGCTTATATTTTGCCTGTTGTCCACAATTATTCTGAGGTCTTTTTCTTTTTCAGTTCTGTTGAGCCACATATTCCCATCTTGTATTGATGCATTTGGTTTCTTTTTCCTAGATAGAGGGATTGGCCCTTGTCCTTATTGAATCTCATTCTGTTGCTTTCAGTCCAGCATTCAAGTTTATTAAGATTGCCCTGGACCTTCATTCTGTGTTCTAGGGTGTTCACTATTCTACCCAGTTTTGTATTGTCTGCAAATCTGGTTACCTTTTCTTGTACTTCCTCATCTAAATC